TGTCATTAGCTGTAGAGGAATAGAGATAAATCCCACTAAAATTAAGGCTATCATGTCCATGCCACCGCCAAAAACCGAGAAGCGAATTCGAGGATTTATTGGCCGGTTGCAGTATATTAGTAGTTTCATATCAAAGCTCATCACGATATGTGAACCAATTTTCAAGAAACTCAAGAAAAATGTACCAGTAATATTGGAGGATAAATGTCAAGAAGCCTTTAACAAGATCAAAGCCTACCTTGCGAAGCCTCCTATATTAGCACCAGCACTACCGGGAATTCCTCTTCGCCTGTACTTGACATTCACCAAGGAAACAATGGGGGTTGTGCTCGCACAAGAAGTAGAAGGAAAGGAAAACGCCATCTACTACCTAAGTAAAAAGATGCTTGAATACGAAGTTCGCTACACCACTTGAAAAGCTGTGCCTCGCACTTGTGTGGGCCACAACCAAGTTAAGGCATTACATGCTCGTCCATACAGTCTATGTGGTATCTCGAATAGATCCCCTTAAGTATCTCTTTGAAAAATCCACACTCAATGGAAGAATATCCAGATGGATAGTAAACTTAGCTCAATTCGACCTAAGATTCATGCCCCAAAAGTCCATCAAAGTATTTGCGGTCTCGGATTTCTTAGCAGACTTTCCAATTGAAGATTCAACACCAGCACAAGAGGACGACTTCCCAGATGAAGAGTTGATGGTCACTGAGGATGATACTTGGACATTATACTTTGATAGCGCATCCAACCAGAAAGGTTGTGGCGTAGGAGTCTCATTAGTATCACCTAAGGAAGAGCATGTCCTAATCTCAATCAAGCTTGACTTCGACGTTACCAACAATGCTACGGAATATAAAGCATGTGTGGTAGGACTCGAAACATCCTTGGCATTGGGAGTGAAGAAACTTCGAATATTTGGGGATTCATCCCTTATTATCAACCAGATTTCCAAAAGATGGAAAGTGAGAAGTAAAAGTCTAGCTCCCTATCAACCTATTTGGAAACACTTACTGACCAACTTGAAAAAGTAGAATACACATATTTACCAAGAGAAGAAAACCAATTTGCTGATGCATTGGCAGGACTAGCCTCGATGGTTAGAATTCCTAAGGAAATTGAACAAATGCCTTTAACTATAAAAAAAAAGGCATAAACCGGCTTACATTCAAGCTATTGAGGATGACGAAGTAATTCTAGAAGAAGAACCCTAGTATAAAAACATCCTCAATTATGTCACCAAAGGGGAATATCCACCTAATGCTGACAAAAGAGCAAAGCGTGCTTTAAGACTCTTAGCCTCACAGTATGTGCTCATAAACGATAAACTCCATAAAAGAGTACCTAGAGGAAGAGCTCTCCTTTGTGTAGGCCAAAAAGGAAGCTCAAAGAGTGATGAGAATCATGCACGAATGAGCATGTGGGACACACATGAATGGCAAAATGTTAGTTCAGAAAATCATGCGTCAAGGGTATTACTGGACTACCATGCAAAAAGATTACTATCAATATGTGAAAAGGTGTGCAAAATGTCAAATATATGCCAATTTACAACATGTTCCACCATCACTCCTCTACACTTATACATCTCCATGGCCATTCTTAACTTGGGGAATAGAGATCATTGGAAAAATCGCCCCCCTAGAACGGGAGGTCATGAATACATTCTCGTTGCTATTGATTATTTCTCAAATGGGTTGAAACAACGTCCTACGCAAAACTTACCGCAAAAAATGTGGCACTCTTTATTAAAAGGAACATCATATGTAGATACGGAGTCCTACATGAAATGATAAGTGACAATGAAACTCACTTTCAAGCGGAGTGTGAAGACCTGCTTAAAAAGTATGGAATTCAACATCACCACTCCTCTCCATATAGGCCTTAAGCAAATGGTGCAGTCGAAGCAGCCATTAAGAATTTAAAAACAATCATCGAAAAGATGACAGAAAACTACAAGGATTGGCCTAACAAACTCCACTTTGCTCTTTGGGGTTATTGCACGTCAATCCGATCATCCTCAGGAACTACGATGTTCTCTCTAGTTTATGTAATGGACGCCGTACAACCTGTAGAATTAGAAATACCTTCCTTACGCATAGCACTAAAAAGTAAGCTTGATGAGGTCGAATAGACAAGGGCACGATATGAAGAGCTAATTCTACTCGATGAAAAACGACAAGAAGCCTTACATCATTCCCAATGCTACCAAACCCGCATGGCTAGACACTTTAACAAAAAGGTCAAGAAAAGAAACATCAAGGAAGGAGACTTGGTGTTAAAAGCACTCAAAAAGAATGTTCTAGACCTAAGAGGCAAGTTTAGGCCTAATTGGTCCGGACCATACATTGTAAAAACTATCCTATCTGGAGGCGCAGCTAAACTCGCAGACATGGATGGTAATGAATTTTTGAATATGTCAAACCTTGATCAACTCAAGAAGTTCTACCCATGATTTAATTGAGTTCTATATTCAAGAGAGCTACGTCTGGCCTGATTCCTTAACAAGGATACGTAGGCAACCCTTTTAAAGGGTGCGGCCACTTTAATTTCTCAAAATCCCGCCTTTTTTCGACAACACTTCAATTCATCAGCGCAAAAGTCAAGTATCGCGGCAAATTAGGAAACCAATGCGCCACGATAAATCCATCGCGTCGCGTCAGCAATATCACGCCACGATGGAAGCCGATTTTTTGTCGTTTCAAAGCTGCGATTAATCACGACTGTTTCAGATTACTTCGGAGATTCTGCGACTTCCATACTCGGATTATTTTCGAAATTACTCAAGTTGTTTAATTTCTTAAAGTTATTTCCAATAATAAAGGAATATTGAAGACAAAAAGTTAATTTAATTAAAAGTTAAAATTGCATTAAAAATTGGAATAAAGAAAATTTACATTATTGATGAAATAAAAGCTTAAAAATAAAATTAACTTGAAATTAAAAATTGTCTAATAAATTGAAAGGAAAGCAATGCTCTAATTTGTCTTCTCCTTCCTAGCTCTCTTCTAGTTCTTGTTTGTATCTTCTTCATCTTCTAGCTCCTTTACCAATAGGGAACCATTAGATGACCTAACCGAAACCTTAGAAGAAACAGTTTCCCCTTTAGCAAAAATGCCAACTTTCTTTCCAACCCAAGCCTTCTTTTCCTTAGGGTCAGCCTTTCTTTTACCCTGCACAACGCTTTTCTTCTTAGGCATGATAGGAGTCTTGAATTCAACTCTTGAACCCAGACGTTCTTTAGGAGGAGCCTTCTTGTCACCTAAGCGGTCTTTTATGTTAGTCTTCTCTGCACCCTTAGAGCTTGTGTTTCGAACCTTGTTCTTATCCTTTTGGTTTCGACCAAGTAACCATTGTCTAAATTCCCTAGACAATGGAGGAGGAACCCTATTAGAGACGACATTCCATAAGGTCTAGCACACCAATAATCATTAAATTGTTCAACATTCTTCAATACTGAGTACTCATATGGTCGACGATGATCTCTAGAAAGTATGGTTTGAGCAAGACCGTATTGTCTCATCACTCTAGAAGGGTAGTAAAAGGTCAACCTCGACAAGCTATGGATACGACAGAAAGGTTGAGTATTGACTCCTACCATCTTCTTAATTTTCCACCAAGGAATGACCCAGTTAATGGAGAAGTCGCGAGTTTCAAAGATTCTACTCAACTCCCGGCGTCCCATCTTCAAGGAAAAACGCTTCTTCCTTCTCACAAGACAGTTAGGAGTATACTTCTCAATATTGTCAGAAGGGCTGATTAATTCAAGTCTTTCCATTAGCCAAATCTGCAAGAATAGAAACAAATTGTTATTACTTTACAAAATTAAATATTTTTATTTTTGTAATTAAGAGTATTAATTTTCTACCTGTAATAATATTGGAGATCCTTGAAGTCGTGCTTTGGGATCCTTCTTTAGTTCATCTAAACTTAGCATTGTTTTTCTAACAATTAATGGCATTGGGATTCTCCCAGCGTCAATTTGCTTCATGACAGATGCTAAAATAGAATTACCCATATGCATACTACCACTAGTAAGCAGAAATTGGCTAAACATGCAATAAAGGAAGGCTCTTCTTCTATATATGTGTGGAATGAGTCAGACTTAGGTTTATTAAAATAAAAAGATGCAAATTTTCTAAGATCAACTTCACTACCACCAACTATAGTTTTCAAATCATTTTCCTTCAGATTATAACAACGCTCAAACTCTTTGTAGTAATATTCACACACCGTGGGAATTAGTGCAAGGTCTACTGAGGGAAAACCAAGAAAAGCACCAAATTCTTCTGGCAGGGGGCTAATTTCATCATTACCTAGTCTAAAGCAATGAGTGTTGGGGTCCCAACATTCTATGGCAGTATGAATAAAGTCACTATCAAAATTTACCCCTTTAATGCCAAATAAACCTCCCATATGAAGAAAGTCAAGCTCTTTTCTCTCCTTAGCGGTCAAAGACCGACACCACTCATGGGTTGTGTCACAAAAATTCCTAGACATGATTACTAATGGGAATGGAAGATTTAGAAGCTAGTGACTCGAATTATACTGAGTATGGCGTATTTGGGGGCTGTTTATAAGCAAAATCGAAGTAGAAATCGAGTCTCATTCGGACTCGATTTTCCCGAATCTATCGCGCTGCGTTACATGTATTGCGCCGCGATAGATTCCAGCGCTGGCGATATAAAAGCGCGTATTATTTTACATTGATTTGATTTTGACTCAGATTTGTACTTTGATTTTTTTTTCGGGATTTCGCTTCATCTTAACCCCCTTTTCTTATTTCACGCTTTCCTACAAAAATTCAACCTTTTTAGCTAAATCCTAATTGATTTGGGGAATTTCTTTGAAAGGAATTTCAAAATTAATTAATTTAACTTATTTTCCCTCTTTTTTCCTTTTTTCATTTTTTCTTTTGGGGGAGAAAGTTGGATACCCTCCATTGATAACAAAAATGACGGAATTTTTGCGCAAAAATTCATACACATGCACATAGATAAATGTAAGAAAATAAAAAGACTAAACAATATACATAAAAGTCTAGTGTACACACATAAGTCTAATAAAAGAGTTGATAAAATATACAATGTGTGTGCAAAGTCCTAGAATGTCCAAAAAATACATGCAGGAGCAACTATGGCGCTGGAGGACGCAAATCCAGAGGAATGCCAAAAGTATCATAGAACTCTGCACCATGTGGAGTCCACGCCTGATCAGTATCAGCACCACCACTTGTCGGGATTGTGATTATAGGACCAGTCCACTGAGTACCTCTGTGTGGCTCGTACTGCTAAAAACTCCCCCGAGCAAAAGGAGTGGGCCCTGGCTGCTGCGACAACAAGCCAACCTCGTACGTCCCACCACCGGGCCGAGATGATGGACCAGCCACAAAAGCACTCGGGGACCTGGTGAGGAAAGAGCAACGGAGTACCATAACCAAGTGGCCTCACATCCCCTGATGACGAGCTGCTATCATCCTTAACCGCGGCCTGGCTGCGCACCTCCTCCCTACATGGGATCTCCAAAAAGGTGCGTCGACGCCTCGATCCCCCTCGTTCCCTCGAGCTCTTTGGCCTCGAACGAGTGCGTGGCTGAGGAGCAGGATGAAATAAAAACAACAAAACGAGTCAAGCGTAAAAAGGCAAATGAACAAATAAAAGCAAATGTACAAAGGCATACCGGCACAACGCCATTCGTACTCGACACGACACTCAGCGACTCCATCTCACCAGCTGGTACCGAAAGGCATCCATGGTCGCTGCCATCCGCGTCACCACCTCGCGAGAGAACTGCAAAAATAGACAAACTCAGGGAAACACAAAATATATACATGTACACCGAATAAGCTGAAGAGTGAGAGCTCACCTAAGTCACGTGACGAGGAATAGACTGGGACACTAATCGCCACTCCTCCGGGGCCAGAGGAATCATTTCCTCAACAGGTCCATAAGTCCCTTGATAAGTGATGGACATGCATAGAGGAACAAACTCCACAAACTCCTCCAACTCCTGGAAAGAGTAAAGTCCAATGGTAAGACACCGTTGGGGGCTACAGAAAAGATGAAATGGATAGTCAGGAATGACAAACCTCCTCCTCGTAGTAGAGTGGCAGAGCTAGCCGAGGAAGAAACACCTCCGCGTAAGGACAATCGGGGTAACTATATATATGCCCGTCCTCACAAATCGCTCCGGTGGAAACATGAATCCGGAGCCGCTCCTAACTCATCATCTGAGCAGGAGGGTCAGCAGGAACTACATGAACAGTCGAGGAGTGCTGAATGGCCACCCTCTCGCCCAGGTACCATACTACATCGTAGTTACCCTAGAAGAAACGCCTCTCAGTAGTATATTGAGAAGCCAGCCTAAAATCACCCAAATCAGCCCATGGGCGATACTGAACATCAAGGCGCTACAACAAAAAAGAATAAGTTAAGTATTTGTGATGAAATCCTAAGAAACAAGAAAACAAAAGGAAAAATCTTTACCTCAAGAATAACAGAAGTAGTAGTAACTAAGCCAGCACGGCGTCCTTGCCAGCTGGTGGCGATTGGGAGCCCTCTAGCTCGAGGCCTCGTCGGCGCCAAAGAAGGGAAGTACTCGTAGAGCCAAACGTACAAGGAGATTGAAAACCTAAGACTCGATAAATATCGAGATGAAAATTAAACTCACCAAAATAGAAGGACATATACCTCTACGATCTTCCAGAAACTAGAGAGAGTAATCTTTGAACTACACTGTCGCTAACGACAGGCCAACCGCAATTCCAAAAGCAAGTTGGCATAGCCAAGGCTGCCCAGTCGCACGTGCCCATCAGCTGAAGATCATGCACGAAGGAGAGATAGTGTAGCAAGACACGACTTCCCCTGTTAGAAGAGAAAGTCCCCGACAGGAGAATAAGAACAAAGATGCACACCCGCTGCTCCTGGGTGGTCGCATCATCATCTAAAGCCTCCGTAAGTAGTGTCCTGTGGGCTGACCTCATGCTGGTGTTTAAATTCTGAGCCTCAGCAGCGGCTCGGTGGACAATAAAGCCTAGCAGCTCCATAATCTCGGGAGAAACTAGACTATGCATCCCGTCTGCAGGAAGTGAGGTGGGCCAAAATTCTAGGCCAGTGATAACGGAGAAGTCGAGAGGGGTGATGGTCATCTCGCCCCATGAAAAGTGAAAAGTGTTCGTTGTGTCCCAGAAATACTCCATGACACCCCGAACAATACGACGGTTCTCCCGCCAAGGATGAACAACCATAGCGACTCGAAAAAGGGGAGTCAACCCGCAAGACTCCCAGAGAGCCCTCATCGCCTCATTCCTCCCAATGTAATGGTAATAGATGTACGAAATGCTATCGTTGCCTGAGCTGTGACAACGAACATGCTCATCGGTGATACCCAGCCGGACGCGCTGGGAAATGTGATAGACTGGTAGAAAAGCTAGGGCGTGCTCGTCCCACTCAGGGAATGACCACCCCCGGCTGGTAGAAGCACCGTCGCCATCGCCTACGGGCTCGTCCTCTTGGTGGGACGAGTGGGAACGTGAGCCGGAGCCTTGACGACGAGCCATAATATTTTTTGTTGTTGACATAAAAACAATAAATTAAACGTTCTATAGTATCTAAGTTCGCATAGTCACATGATACTATGTTCGTCGAAAAATAGAGTACAAAATACAAAAACAAAGCATGATTTTGATTCGCACAATAACAAAAATTTTGAGCACCAAAACAATTTCTTGCAAGTTTATGGCCAATGTTGCAACAAATTAAGTACAAAGAGCAAGAAATCATGAAGAAAAAGCTACAACTCACGAACCTAGAGTGTTCACCAATGGCAAAATACTCGTTTCTTCACCAAATCAAGTAATTCTGGTCTCAAGTTACTCACAAAGCAAAAAAAAAACATATACAGGCATTTTTATGGCAAAAGATTCAACCAAAATGAATAAAAAAGGCACAAACATGTTCGAATTTCCGGAAAACCGCAAATAAGAACGCTTGGAATTTACCAAAATTAAGAAAAGTTTGAGCGAAACTTACATAGATCGGTAAAATAGAGTGAGAATGCAAAGATTTGCAAAAGATCTGAGTGAATTTTGTCAACAAACAAGCAAGAACGTACAACTTGAAGTTCCGCGAACGAACGAACAAAATGGAAGCAGCAGCGGAAAATGCAAATTTATCGCAAGGCGATACTCCCAACGTGGCGCGATACAAACTGGCATTGCGCGATGCGTCTACTGCTGTCTGCGTTGGACTTTGTAAGACTCATAGGCTGACTTTGTGGACCACATTTATCCGTTTGAGTTCTATGGCGCGCCATTTAGCCTCTAAGCAATTGATTTGATTGATGATCGGCCTGATGACGATCATATTGATAAATTGAGCACATTTGAGTATTGATTAGGCACATCCTTTAAGTAGTGATTGATTATAATCAAGAAATTCCTAAGATGGAAGATTTCTAAGGATATTGATTTGAGCTTGGTGAAATCTTGAGGAGTAAGGTTTTACAGTAGGTTTTCCAAGGCGTGAGAAGCTATCACTTCCAAGGCGTGAAGACGAGAGAATTTGAGAAGACCGCTCGAGGCGTAATGGCCTTCAACAGCGTTCCCTAAAATGTGGAAGTTGTCACCTTGATTTGAGAAGATGGCTCTAGGCGTAGTGGTCTTCGATGGCGCTCCTCGAGAATGTGGAGGTTATCAAAACAAAAAAAAAAACTTGATTGACTGTGTCGCAAGTTTCTCGAGGCGTAGAGACACGTAATTACTAGACAAGTTCTCCCAAGACGTGGAAAATTGTATATCATTGCGCACTTCTCAAGGCATAGAAGACGACGAATGTACCCCAAGGCGTGGATGCTTAGTGTTATTCCCGAAGTATGGAATTTCACTTGTGAATTGCTTAAGGCGTAGGAGTTCACGATAGGCTTCCCAAGGCGTGGAGACTGTCCCAGATTAGACTTCCTGAGGCGTGGAAAATCATCATTCAATAGGTTGCTCGAGGCGTAGGAATCTACGACATGTTGCCCGAGGCGCGGAAGCTTGTCACCTTTCACTTGTGAGTTTCTCGAAGCGTAGTGATTCGCGATGAGGTTCCCGAGGCGTGGAATATATCTCATATCAGTCTTCCCAAGGCGCGGAAAATTATCATCCGGTGGATTTCTCAAGGCGTGAAAAGTTGCTAAAAGTGTTTGCTACCAATACGTTGGTGTCATATACGCATTTTTTCTCCTTAAATCTCCTTTATTTGTAGAACTAGCATTTTCTGCAGGTATCGGAGTTAAAAAGAATGGTTTAGGATAGCATAACGTTCTGAATCATTCTCCGTCCCTATCGATCTACTTTGACTTTTGTTTTTGAAACTTACGTTTCTCCAAACTTAGTTAAAGTGGGGGCTTCTGTAGACACCTGATTGTGTCTCCCCAAAAACCAAACCCAGTGATGAGTACCTTCACGTCTTTGATTATCGAGTTAGGTGAAGAGTTGAAGAGTCTCGTGAGTTTCCTTTTAGCCTTAACCGTTTCTAATCTTTCCTAAAATCTTTTTAGCCAAAATCATTTATTTCGTGTCTTTAAACCCAAAATAGTTCATTTCGTTTCCTGAAAATCATTCATTTCGTGTCCAATTTATAAAAATGTCTAATATTGACTATTTTGGTCCATAATCTGGGTCAAATGATTGCGTAGTTGGATGGGGTTTGAAAAGAGATTTCCAACAATATATTATAAGCCCAAATCCGAGTTATAATGAGGAAGTTAAGGCCAAAATACTAAACTAAGCCCAAACCGAGCCTTACCTACGACTCAATGACCATGTGGAGGGTCCATTAACCTTAACACCATCCCTAAATCCCTTAGGATTTAATATTAGCTTCTAGAATCCTCTAGAAGGTTCTAATTTATCCAGTTTTTGAAAAGATAAAAATTTAAGAATTTTACTTCGGATAAAACACTTGTTTTTCAATAGATTTAATTTTGATAAAAACTAGAATACGTACGGAAATACGATTAACCCAATTTGATTGGAATTCGGATTCCGTACGGATTCTATCTTCTCAAAAGTATCGCTGAACGATGATAATATCGCGCAGCGATATAATTAGCGCCGCGATATAACTGTCGTTTCGCGATACGATCAGTTTTACTTCGAGTCGAATTCTGACTCTTTTCTGATCTTTTCCCTCGTTGTTCTCTATAAATAGAGGTCATTTTCCTCCGTTCTGATTCACCAACAACCATCATCTTAATCTCTGTGTCTAAGCTATAAGCTTTTTTTTTCTCTCTCTCTTTTTCTTAGCCTTAGCCTAAACACATCCCAACTCCATACATCCTTTGCGAGACTTGAATACTCCAACCCCTTCTCGTAGTTGCCTTCGACCTCGACGTGAAAGGTTGATAGTTCTGAGGGTTTGGTCCCAAATCAATATCTCAATTCTTATTTGTTTATTTGTGTGATTTATTCTTTTCTTGAAGTTACTAACTCGTGTATTGTTTTGATAAAAGAGATACGAGGCATCAAAGTGAGTAGATCTACTATTCTTATTCCTTTGATATAGAAATCGTGCTTTGAATATTATTTAAATTTCTAGTATCATGTTAGGATGTCTTTATGATTTCTAGTATCATGTTAGGATGTCTTTATGATTTCTAGTATCATGTTATGATGTCTTTATGATTTCTAGTATCATGTTAGGGTGTTAATTAATATTTCTAATATCATGTTGGTTGCTAGTATCATGTTTAGGATAAAGCTTTAATCTTGATTATTATTTAGTGACATGCTAGGGTTTGTTATTAATCCGTTTAGTATCATGCCTAAGATCTTGCTATTAATCATGTTTTGATGAGATTATGATGATGATTGTTGTGTCAATAATTATTATGCGTTGCTTGATTGTTCATGATATATTGTTATTGCTTGATCACGCACCTTCTTGCAGGTTTAAAAGGAATTTGTATTTGAAATCATGCCTAATAAGATAATTAATAATTTGATTTTAGGTTAATATGATTTAAATTCAAGTGATCACCAATAATAGATTTATTTGTGCATTAATAATCAAGCAATGTAGATTAAACAGGTTTAGGATTAATTTGTTGTATGTATGTTAATCGGAAAACGCACATTAATATCATAAGAATTAAGTAGAGGCCGATTTAGGGCGGGTTCAATCTCTTTTAGGTTGGATTCGTACCATCATCCCCGAATATCTAGTCATGGTTCCGGGCCACTATGGAGTTAGCGATCTCCGTGATCGTGTATGGGGTGTAACCTTTACACCCGTGAATCGTTTACAAGTTCTTAAAACTTGTTGGCGACTCTTTTATCTCTAGCTTCTTTCCTTTTGGACGCCACCATGCTTAAATGCATGACCACAGTGGGGCTCAAAGTTGATGTTTGAAATATTCTCTACAGTTTGTTTTTTTATTTCTTTTTTGTAATTTTACAGCAAGGAGAAATCTATAATATGCCACTTGAGATTATTTATGATAATCTTGAAGTCCCTGGAGCAATTATACACAAGTGTTGTTGGTAAACATCATTAAACAATTAAATTCTTCTTATTTGTTGTGCTTTGTGTTTTGTAACATAGGGTGAATCTTATGGAAAGGAAGCTTCATCTTATTATAATATATGGAAAGAGGTCCCATTTCAAACTCAGGTGTATGTTGTAAATAATATAATTTGCATGTTGAAGTAATACCTTATACTTATACATTGTCAATGACTTTTTGTAGGCTATAAATGTACCAAATTCTAGTCTTGAGCTCAATCCTCAAACCTATTTTAGCAGCATGTCAAATGTAAACCGATTTGGTATATTAAATGTTATATAATTCCTACAAATCGTGTGATACATACTTAGGTAGTATAAGCGAGTTCACATAGTGACATTTTTTTTACATGGATGTAGGTATGTGATGCTTAACGCCCCTCTGGGTTGCTTTACAAGTTGAAACTCATGGTGCAAGTTTGATGAAGAAAGAGTCATGTTTTTTATTCTATGTAATCATACATCATTATGAATTTATCCATATGCTCATTCTAAATAATAGTATCAATTCAATTAGTTTTATCACAACTCAAATATTTCTTCATAATCGTTTAGCCTATATAGGATTTGAACCTACTTTATTGTGTGCTTTAGCACAACGCTCTACCATATTGAGCTAATAGGCTAGACATTAATGGCATACCAAATTCAAGTAGCCGATGTAAGTAAGCTCTAGTAGGAGAGGTAGCTTGTCATACTACTATAAGTGAATGTAGTTTGTCATATACTTGAACATAAGTTCCACTAATTACAACAATATGTGCAGTAGAAATTAGGAACAAAATTCAACAGTTTGAAAAGTAAATTAAAATGGGTGGAAACTGGAAAGCAACAAAAGTTCTATTAAGTACTACGCAATTATGTCTGATCAAAATCAGTCAAAAGTCCTATACCAAGTAAAAACTAATTAACCATGATATAATCAAGATAATATTTCCCCAAAATTTGAAACTAATTAAAAAATAAGAGCAACAAAATTAAACCCATCAAGCTCCAATAAACAAAAAACCAATTACGAAGTATTATTTTAGCACACAATATATCAACAACAACAATTACGCGCTGCGGCTCACAAAGATTATAGAGAGAATCAAAACCCCCAAAATTTATCAAATTCAACCAAAATAAAACCACCCAAAATTAAAATTTCAAGAAATACAAACCTGATTTAATTAGATGCCAGGTGATACTTTGATGGTTTTTATTGACGATCAAAAGATGAAAATTGTCATGGGTAATGAGAATTTTGGTCATCTAGATTCTAGAAGACAATGGAGAATGAAGACCCATGAGAGAGAATGAAGTGAGGGAGGTGGAAAAAAAACGAGTACAATATGTAATTGGGGTGAATAATGATTTTTTTTTTAAAAATTTTTATTAATGAGTTAAGGAAGCAACATCAACCGTTGATATACATGGAGGGCTGTGATAAACCCAACTCTACATGGTACAGTTTTCCTCCAACTCTAGAGGATTTAGACACGAGAGTAATTTTTTAGGGGGAAAAAATTACACTGGGGGCCTGGGTAACTTTTACCCCTATTTTAGGGAAATATATTACTTTAAGGGGTTGTTTAGTTCAACAAAGAGAGAGAATAAACATAAGAAAGGGAAACAAGGAGAATGGAAACAAAAACCCATACATTTACCAATTTGTTTGTTTGAATTGAGAAATTAAAGGGAATAAAACCACTAGCAATCATTTCCAATTGTGTGTTTTTAGTGAAAACCCATAGATTGGATGGTGTTTTTGTTCACTCAAAACATAAAATACAATCTTTCAAAAACAATATCAGTCATTTTCAGTTTGAATATGTTTATGTTGCTTCTGAGTATTTGAGCTGCATATCTCAGGATCAAGGAATATTACTCCTCATACTCACCAATAATGAGCTTCTGACCCATTTTTCTAGCCATGTATGCCATATATCTGGTGCGCTCAACGCCAATCTTCCCGAGATAGTCAACCTTAGGGAAAATGTGAGAGACCAGAACCTCGTGTTGGCTCATCAGAGGGTGGGCATCAAAAAGATCGTCCATACATAGGTAAGGTCAACAACTCCATTTGATGTGGTTGTGAAATGGTACAAACTAATTAAACACTAACTGCTCGTTTAACTAACAAAATACTTAGCATATAATCGTGCGTTGTCATTGTTAAGCGTAAAGTATTTTAATTCATCAACTAAGCATAGCAACCAAAATCCACTTTCAACATCATAATAGTCCACTTTGAACATCATTAAAAAAGGAAAAAAATACTTCACTTTTAGCAAAACCCACAAGATATATAACACTCATAATAAGACAACCTTCCAATTTCATATAAAACACAACATACCTTTTCTAGTACGTAAAGCACAAAAACAATAAATAAAACCTAACTTTTCCTAAAAAAATAAACTTCCATTAACTCAAAGAGACAAAATTAAAGATTATACCTTAAGCAGAAGTCAATTTAGCTGCTTTATTTGCTTGCGTATCTTTCAGTGAGGTTGCAGTTAGGCCACATAAAATTAACAGCGAGCTCTGTTTTTTTCTCTTACTTAAGGATTTTTTTTTAGTTGTATAAATGCTAAAGTACAAGTGATGAAGTACAAGTCATTATATAGCCAGCTAAAACCAAGCAAACATTGGTGGAGTTGGTGGGGAACTCACCCTTGTGACTTTGAGGTCACAAGTTCAAGCTCCACCAACTACATTTGCTTAGGAGTAGGGGGATCCCTTACCTCCCCCCCTACTCTCAAGTGTTGACCTATGGAGCTGAGTTGGCTTAACCTGTGAGAGGTGCCGGTTCAATAGGGTTTTTTATCTTACCTTTAAAAAAAAAACAAGAACATAGCCAGCTAAAGCTTCTAGGGGGGTGAATCCAAATCATCTATTTTCCCGCATTATTTGCTCTGTTATGGGAGATATGAAGCCTTGGGTGATGTTCCCAAAAATGCCATTAATACAGAATTGCAGTGCAATTTGATTAATTTTTTTTTAATAACTTGCAAATTACCGGGTGTAGCAAGTTTTTGGCCGGAAAAGTAAACTCAGGCAGGTAAAAGTACCCAAGTTGCTATGGCCCAAACTTGAGTACCTAATTTGCAACAATAATGAAAGTTTAGTACCTAGTTTTTATATTAACTCGCATTTTTATGAATTTGTATTTCGCAATTATTGAACTGCAACCAAATAAGACTTTAGTGTACAAAGTAGTTAAAATTAATAAATTATATCACAATCGTCAGTTAGCGTATCAATATTTTGTAGGACCCGTATTTGATAAAAGTTATTGACTTTTTTTTTTTATTTATTTTTCAAAAATATTAAAAATTATTGACTTATTTACACAAATTGTCACTATCCCGAAAAACAGATAGATCATGCGATTTGAAATCCATTTGCAAATTTGCAATTAGGGAAACGGGGAAGTAGGAGCAACTAGCGGCTAGCAACCAGAACCGAGTTGCTGCAAACTCGGAATCATCATATATATCTAATAAAATTCAAATTTTCATGAAAAGTTGTTTGAATTCAAAGAATCAAAATGGCAGGTCCAGCATTAGACGAACTCTTCCGATCTCTCCTCTCCAAAACGGTAATTTTTGTCTATTTTTCTTTAAAATACCCAATTTTCAATTTCATTGAATTGATGGAACAGTTAATTGAGCTGATAATTTTCATTTGATTGAATAGGGACAAGAGAAAATGACCACCCAAGAATCAAAAGTCTTTGTTGAGTGGAAGTCTCAGGCCATTAAGAGTTGTGCTGTAGGAAGCGGTGTTGCCTCTGGGCTTGCTTGGATTGGTAAGTTAGATTCTCCCTTTTATTACCTAATTTACTCCGACTCGGACACGGGTATGTGTTTAAGTGTTTAATTGGCTATGTTGTGAAACTTTTCCATGATCATATAAATTAAAATGTCAATGTAACCATACCTAGTCGAGGATCTGACATGGGTTTGGTTTGGTTTATATGTTGGATTCAATTATGTCAGCAGTTGATTGATTTGTTGAAGATTCTTAGCAGCTAAAAATCTATCAATTTAATGTCATTTGAAAGGCAAATTAGCCTACATTTTTATTATAAGATGGAACGAAAACATTTTTAAATTGTGCAATGTCTATTTAGTCTGATCGCTAGATTAGACCAGGTTCAATAGGACAACAACTAGATTAATAAGGATACTAATGATAGTGTAGGTTCAATGATTGAGGATGAGTAACCTACGAAAAATGAATAAAGGGGAAAGTGAAGAAAAGACACAAGATGATGACCCAGAAAACCTTAGGAATTAGGGTAAAAACTGCGGGTGGCGTTGAGTCACCAATCTACTAATTTGAGAATTAAGTACAGGTACAGTATAGGTTGTAATTTGATCAAGAATGAATCTGTAATTTGGTTGCTAATTGCTAGTATGATGCTTAGGGCTCGTATCTTGTGTTTTTACAATGGTTTTTCATCCTATTTATAATAGAAGAGCATTTTGAAGTTTTGTAACAGCTTCTTTGATGATTCCTTGAAAATCAGAGTTAGTTGCCAAGTTCAGCTCCGAGATTCATGCCTCATTCTTCATGCTCTTATCCATTATCCTTTGACTTATTCTTTGCCAATAGTTAGTTGGAGTTTATGGTTCCTATTTTTATGGAACTTCTCTTGATTCATTCAAACTTGGATTCTCTTGGAATATTCCTTGGAAATATCTTCATTTAACTTCCCTTGACTTCCGGTAACCTAGTCGTTGATTTCGTAGCAACCTGTAACCTACAATCTAGCAACCTATAGACATCTGAACCTGTAGTGAAAATTTAGGCATAACAATGTCTGTTCAAAGAATTGGTGTTGTATTAAGAGAAATCATATTTGTTTATGTTTATGACATACTCCAATTTTTGTGCTAAAAACTTCTTCCTTTCTCTTTTGGGCCTTCCCTGGATTCCCTCAAATATTTAAGGGGGAAAATATAATGGGGACTATGGGGTACATTTTCCTAGAGGATCAATTAATGGGGTAATTATTCATTTTTTTCAAGTTTGGAATTATTTCAGGGGTAATAAACAAAATTAGCTTCTATATTAGCAAATCTGCCATCATCCAGTCAGAACCACCGTCATTATACTGTATGGTAGGGAGGAGTGACATATTGATGAAGAGAATTGTTAGGGGGGAAAAGTAGGGGGGTCTGGGAAACAATTTCGCCTAATTTGAGGGGAATATATTACCCCATTATAACTGTGTCCTCAGGCAACTCAAAACATCGGAAAATTTTCCTCCTTTAATTATTTCTCCCCTATTACAAGCAATCCAGGCAAGGCCTTGGTGTTGCTAGAGGGAATTCTATAGTTCTAGAGCCAAAAAAAATTATCATTTGGGATCTTGTTATATTCTAAATTCGCGGTGTCGTTTCATAATTTTAAGTATCATGTAATTAAAGATAATTATCATCAAAGATGTGCCTTGCAAAATTTGAAAAAGAAAACAGGAACAACAAATGGGAATGGAAAGAGGATATAATGTAGCTTAGAGCTTGGAGTGAATACTATGTAACAGGTTTGTCCTATTTTAGTGAACAACAACACCATCCAATCTGGATTTTTCCAAGGGAGCTGGGATTCAATGGCCTTACCTTTGATAGGTTAGGAATATTTTCATAGACAGTTGTTAAGCTATACCAAGTGTCATTATATGATCACTTAGCAGAGTTAGGCTTTTGATTATTACAATTTCGTAATGGGTGATTATTTGTGTGTTTTTAGTGAACAACAACACCATCCAATCTGGAATATTCCAAGGGAGCTGGGATTCAATGGCCTTACCTTTGATAGGGTTAGGAATATTTTCATTGACAGTTGTTAATCTATACCAAGTGTCATTATATGATCACTTAGTGGAGTTAGGCTTTTGATTATTATAATTTCGTAATGGGTGATGGATGATTGTTGTGGTATTCTAGGAATTTTGTATTTAGGTTTGTATGTTGTTATATTGGCATTTCTTTTGTTCAATAGTTGCTTCATTGTTGTTTGGATAGAGAATCTACATTCATGAGAATCATGGCTGGTTAATAGAATCATAGAATCTCCATTTGTTGCTTCTAAGCTTTGTTGATAACTTTGGAGGGAGTAGCACTAAGAATAGTTTATAAAAAAATTATTTAATGAGGCACCTCGAATTACATTGACTTGTATAACATTAAAGAGGTTATTCTATTTTCCTTCTATTTTCTACATAAGAATAGTATTTATCCTATACCACAAATGGTGACATGGTGACTTTAATGGTTTTATTACCCTTCTATTTCCTGCATAACGCTAATATTATTCTAATACCTGTACCACACTCCCCACCCCTGGCAAAGAAAATGGTTGGATGTATCCAATGCATCCTTGACTCAAAAATTACAAAGAGACTACTTCTATTGGACCCTTGATTCAAAAGTCGACAACCACTATCTACTTAAAAGAAAATAATAGAACTAAAAAAAAGAAGCAAGTATACGAGTCATTTTGACTTGTGTCCATTATAATCCAAAGCCTAACAATAGCGAATGTTTTTAATTTTTTTTTCTTCCTTCTATTACTTTAATTGAAAAATCTTTGTCTTTGCAGCAACGAGAAAATGGAGAACTGCTAATCGTGTGATACCTATTGCAGGTAATTTAAGCTTTATTTTTCATATCCGATATATTATTAATCTGCTTACAGATGATATATGAATTTCATTAGCACAATATTCATTTATATATTACAAAGTTGTGTTGTGTTCTTTTGTTTCCTATTTTCATGCTGTTACTTGTTCGGTCATGAATTTCATTCTTTGTATATTTGTAGCTGTCTGCTAAATTGCTAACATTGATGATTCTAAGGTATATTCAATCAACAATTACTCCAGTAAAGTTTAAAATTCAGTAGTTACATTTTATACTATTCTTCTTCAAATAACTGAGATAATGGACATGTATATCATCAGGCTGGAAAAATACTGCATTATAAAACTTCTGCACTATTCAGTGTGGATGGATGTTTTGAATATGAATATTCTGGGATAATTTCCGGCTAGATTGGTTCATTCTGAGGCTATAATTTCTTTTGGTCCCATAGATGATTAGATAGTTTAAATGGTTTTTCTATATCATAAGACTAAGAGTATAATGTTTTTCCTACCACAAACCCATAAAATTACTAAATTAGCCAGATGGTTGCTTTTGTTCAATTTTCATGACATTGTAGTAGCAGTTAAATGCAGCGAAATTCAGTGTAAGTGTCTGTGTAGACCTTAGATTCTTGTAATTATTGTAAAAGCTGATTTACATCAGTGTAAATATTATTTTCTAGGAAAAATGTTTCATGTAGCCATGAGGTTCCTAACATGTGGCTATGATTGCCAAAGCTGTGGACCAAATATCACTTTAAAATAGCTGTGTGAAATCATATTCTTTTACTGATCTTGGTTGAATATTGGAAATTTTTTCAGCATTAACGCAATATGATATTTTGTTCAATCTAGATAATCTTTATTAATGCTAAGTAAATTGTTTGTCCATTCTTAATTCCCTGATGACCTGATATGATTGCCATGAATAAACAATTAAGGCTTTTCTTACTATCTATGTCATCGTACATCGGAAGTCATTATCTTAACTATTACAGGAGCTGGGTTTCTGACTGCAAGTTGGGCATTTGGTAAATCTGTAAACACATGTGCTGACCGAATTCTTCAAATGGATGGGAGTCGGATGCAGTATGAGCTGGAAAAAATGTAGGTACAATGTCACAAACTACTTTATTTGTATTCCATATTTCTTGCAATGTTAATTTTGAAATGGGCAATCATGATGTTTCATTGAAATTAACTTAGGAAATGATTGTGTTGCTAGCTTTGTATCTCACTGAGTATATAATCAACATCTAGCATTTCACTGAAAGTTACTTAGGATACTTGTGGCCTTGCTTTATGTTTGATTTCAACATCTTCCCAGGACTTTTCTTATGCTTCATTTGTGAAACACCCTTACCCCTAAGCAAAAACACTAAAGATCACTCAGCATACAGATAGCTATGTTGAATTTATCTAGTTTGTGTTAGTGACATCATTTGGAAGGTACTTGGCTTAATGGTTGAAGTGTGATTTCTCTTTATCTTTTGTTATGGAACAGAAATTGGAAGGTTCTTGATTGCTAGCATTTGATTTTTGGGGGTATTTATGATTTGGGGTTGGGGAGGGAAGAGGCCGTAGGTTTCAATGCTTGGAGCTTGGAAGTTCATCCTTTGGAAATTTGTTTTGAGTTCTGCTATTTTATGATGATTATTAAGATATGGAACATAATGACCTGCTTCCATATTTCTCAGATTTTGAGGCTAGAACACCAAATGGGTATTTCAAACCATCTTTATGTATCATATTATATGGGTATTAAATCCGGGAACAACTAAGTAATAAAAAATTGACTCATTTTGCCGGGGCAGTTGTGTTAGTTTGGTGTATAGTTTAGTGTTTCAATTTTCATCATTATCCTATGATTTTTTTTCCTTAATGTACCCTTCCACTGAACTTCTCCCTTTTATTTACCATACTCTTAAAGACTAAAATTAAAGGAATTATATTTCACTAAATATATGATTCTCTAGGTCCCAACAGATTCTTATTAATAGTAGTGAGTAAATCCTAATATTGGAGTTATAAGTAAACCACAATTGTTATCTATGACCCAAGAAGTAGTTGCAAAATTGCATTTAATAACATTAATACACTAAGTAGAAGTAACATAGATGTTCTCCTCCTTGGGCAGGAACTATCACCAGGATATTTTTTCTTCACCCTTTTTGCTTTTCTGCTTTGCTGGTACGATATCAGTTTTGTTTCCATGCTTCTTAAACCCAATCTCTTTGCCCACCATTGAAATGTCCTTGGCAAGTCTTTCCTTGATATTGCCTTTAGTAGATTTGAGCATACCATAAAGCTCATTCAATCTTTTCGGCATTCTGTCATATTGAAATTCATTTTGAAGCTCTAGAATGTGTCCGGAAGTGAATGTGAAATGGTGTTTGTGGAAAAGCCAAGCAAAGGCACTCATAAAAAAAAATAAACATTTTAATAACAAGAGGACTGCCTCAACCTTATGGTTGACTATAGCTTTAGTTATCGCAAAATTCTAACTGCTCTTAAAACAAGTTCTTGATTTTGAGGTTGATAGTGTATGCATCGGAGTTCAGAAACTCCTTTTGCAAATCAGGGGTGGTTGTGAAGTTAGTGATTCGGATGTTAGGATTCGTAGATATGGTGGTGGTGGTGTTAAGTTTTATATATTTGGGGGGACGATGGTGGTGGAGAGGGGAGTTGGGGTGGTGGTGGCTGCCATGGGGAAAGGTGAAAATGAGGAGAGAGAGGGAGTGAATTAATTTGTAAATGGTCATGACTTTGTGAGTGATTAAAGTCCAGGGAATAATGTTGTATATGGTAGGACTATAATAAATGATAGGTGGTGTTTTGGTGGGTAATATTGTTTAAAGTAGGGTTAAAACTCTAATTTAAGACGATAACATACTGGGAATAAACTAGTTAAAGGTTTTTCTGCTGTCTATGTAGCGCTGTGTTCTTATTTTCCAAATTAATATAATGAAAAAAAAGTCATGCATTATGCTCAAGTAGAGCATTCTTGGTTTTTTTTTTTTTTTCTTTTTTCCAGTCTCAGGTTTCAATAAAGATTAACATAGTCCATGTTTTGTGCTGCGGTTTAATGTTTGTTGTGTAGACAAAATAATTTAGATGATGCTGAGCTATTTTTTATTATTTATTAATGCAGAATACTGGAGAAGTATGGCAATGATCCTGAGAAAATGAAGCCTTTCTCCAAGCATTTCTACTGTGAAGAAATATTTAATGATTCAACCCCTGGACGTCCCAAATCAATATACCGGCAACGGCATCTGCATGTCGATAATCACCGGACAACTGATAACAATACGAACCATGAGTCTGCTAAGAAAGGTGTCTATTATCAACAGAGAGAGGATGATTCTAACGTCAAACTGAAAAGCCCCAGTGCAGAGAATAAACAATCCTCTGTAAGTACATGCTCATGATTTGCTGCCAAATGTACTCTTATCTGCTTTTGTTATCTATGTTCTCTTCTATTGATTAGTGTGATAAGTACTGATTTTGATGACTTCTGCTTGAAATTTGGCTTGTTGCGATCTCCTAACAAAGCAAATGAGTCATTATCTATCATACTTTGTAGTGGCTGTAGCTAGAGTTTCTAACTTTCTATACTCTTATGTTGTGGATCCATAATTGATTGCTTTGATAAATTGTATTGCTTACATTTTGGCGACTGTTGAGCCCTTTAAGATAAACATAAGCGGAAATACTATATAATGAGGCTAAGTAAATTTTACTGAACTGTCAGTTTAGCTCTGATCTGATAGTAGAATATAATAGTAAGACAACCGGTGATTTCTCTTCCAGTTGAAACAAGAATTACACTCAACCAAGGCCTGATGACCATTACCCTGATGCTCATACGCTTTGCTTCAATCTACTGATCATATCCCAGCTCTCTCATTTCTGATTCCTGCAACTTTTAGCCCTTTGACATAGGAGTTATACCTAACTGCCTCTATTCTTCTTTTGAAACTCTGAAAGTTCCAAATGTGAGATGAATAATAGGGATCTTTTGAGGCATTTTGAATGGTGAAATGAGGATCTCACGTCCTAAAAGTAAGAATTATTTCTGAACTTATTAGGCCTGATCAATTTTACACTTTGTGATAGATTCAAATCAGTCACACAGCAAAACCAATATAACAGCAATGCAAGTTTTAATAGGCTGGTTTTCGGACTTGGAATTTCTGATTTAACTAGCAAATTAATAAAGATGGAAGCTTTAATATTGATTGATAATGGTGGAAGGGTTACAAAAGGGTAGGGTTCATAGCTTGAGGCTATCAATCTCACAAGTATCTTTAGGCTACAACTCTCTCAATAGTGACTTGAGGTCACAACTCTCAAAAAGACTCTATCCAATTTCTGCCTGATCTTTTTTTTTTCCCCTCTCTCTATATATATTCTAAGGACTATTAACCTAGCAAACTAATACTACTAGAATACCCATACTACCCTCCTTAGGTTATTCTATTACACAATTATTGCATCTGAGCCTATTTGACCCAACATTTATAATTAGTAGACAAAAAGAACAAAGCCTTGATAACTTTAAAATTTTGTATTCAAAGGGACCATGCAGTTAAAACAATCACCTAGTTTAGGGTCGCATAATTAGTTTTTCTAATTTTTTTTTTTCTTTTTGTGGGTTGGGGGCTTGAATACTGTTTTGTTATTGGCTATTGCATCCAGTTATTGGTGCTTGAGGAAAACCATTTTTCTGAATGATTTGGGGTAGGCTAACATGAATTGTTACAAAGAACCGTTCGTAAACGAAAATAAGCATAGCAAAATAATCGATTGAATAAAAGTTTGAAAAATAAAATTGTGTAATGAGGAAACATAAAATTAATCAATCAATCAAATAAAGCCTTAATCCCATAAGTGAGATCGACTACATAAACCAAAAGTGATTATTTTGTGTAGTCATCAACAAAAAAAACTTCCTCCTCCTTCCCTTACGATCCAATGCCTCATCCTCATACAAATTCATATACTTCATATCCTTTCTAAATCCTTCCAACCAAGTCATTTTCGGTCTCCCTCTCCTTCGTTTAACCCCTCCATGGTCCCACTCTTGCACTCTTCGTACCTGACACCGTACTGGGTAGGGGTGTACACTGGACCTGGACCGGACCTGTTTGGACCGGGGACCTAAATTAGGAAATTTTGAGGACCGGGAACCGGGCCTGATTCAACAGGTCCAGTTCCGGGTCAGACCTGAAAAATCAGGTCCGGTCCGGGTTTGGACCTGAATGGACCTGTTTTGTGATTTTTTTCGTTTTTTTTTTTTTTTTTTTTTTTTTTTTTCTCATAACCTGTTGGACCTGCATATGGACCTGTTTTGTGATTTTTAGACCTGTTGCATAATTTAATTACATATAAACCCAAATTATCAATCAAAAAACTACATAAAGTCTATAAAGTCCCAATTCTCAAACAAAAAAAATACAAATGAGTCCACCGAAAATACAAATGAGTCCATGAAAACTCATAACATTACATAAAGTCTCTTAAGTCTCAAGTACTAGATACATAATTTCTCCAAGGACAACTTGAATTGTGACGAGTTGTTTTCCCTTTGATTGCGTGATTCACACTAATGAGTCCACGAAAACAACTTCATCGTCTACATCGTTAGATTCACCACGTTGCACCTCTAAATAAAAAACAATATAGAATATATTAATGATTGATAACAATGAAATAATAAATTTGGTGTAACAAAATTTCAAGTACATAAAATTATTACTACCTTTCTCTATTTCCTGTAACTCTTTCAAATTTTCTTCCACATCAACGATTGGCACTCCCTTAGCTCTAAGCCAATCTTGTGTGCAAAGTAGCGCTTGAACCATCTTCAATACAAAAGTATTACATAAATATGTATAAACGAAGTCATATTTAGATATAAACAAACTTGATTTTATAAAATAAAAAGATAAAGATGCATTACCTTAGGAGTTAAAGAACTCCGAAATGGATCTAGAGTACGACCCCCCGTACTAAAAGCAGATTCCGATGCAACAGTCGACAATGGGATGGCTAGTATGTCACGTGCCATGCGAGTAAGAATCACATAACGTTGACCATTCTTACCCCACCATGTCAATGCATCTTGTTCTTCCTCCTCCGGCCCTAATTGATCATTTAAGTACCTATCCAACTCACTTATCGCATACCCACTTGTCCCCTTCAATCGTTCTGCTCTTTTTTTTAGTTTCTTCACATAATCGGAACGCACTCCTACACTATTATCAATATCCATTGACATATTATCTCCACAATCTGGAATATTAGAAGTAGCATACATTTTTCTATATTCCTCAAATAAAGAGTAAGTGAACTCCTTCACATCATTAGCAAGTTTCATACCCTTTTTCGGTCCATGCATATCCGTTAGTGTCAATTCAACAATGACCATCTTAGAGTGAGGGTCGAGAAGAAGAGCAACATAAATTAACTTATTCATTTTATCCACATCCCCCCAATACTTATCAAACTTTTTTTTCATTGCAATGGCCATAGCTTGAAAATTCAAGTCCCCACTTTGTTCCCAATTATTCAACATATCATACATAGAAGCAATTTCTCCTAAACCTTTATTAGCTGTCACATAATGGGAACCAGAAATTCGTTTAGTTAATACATAAAACCCCTCTATAAACAAAACCAACCTCTCCACTTTTTCCCAATCTTCGGGTTCGGGAGGCCTTTCTTTGTCATTCAAATCCTCTCCATCAGGAAGAGATAACCCACTAAAAACACGTTGAAACTTCAAAGCCGTTTTCAACATTATGTATGTGGAGTTCCAACGAGTGGGGACATCAAAGGATAAAGAAGATTTTGAATCTATGTTTGCTTTTTGCACAAGATCTTTGAATCTAAGTATTCTTGCAGGGGAATTCTTAACATATTTCACAGCATTTCTAACTCTATCAATGCACACACCATGCTCTCTTATACCATCCCACACAATTAAGTTAATGATATGAGCAATGCATCTAACATGAAGATTTTTTCCATCATTAACACATCCTGTTCTTCTAACCATTCTACTGAAGTGTGCACAAGCAACATCATTTGAAGAAGCATTATCAATAGTGACAGTAAAAAGTTTATCATTAATACCCCAATACCCTAAACATGCCTCAACTGCTTTTCCAATAGCCTCTCCTTTATGACTAGAAATCGGACAAAAATTTATGATCTTTTTATTCAATTTTCAGTCATTATCAATGAAATGAGCTGGAAGACACATATAATTAATTCTTTGTATTGAAGTCCAAGTATCAGTGGTCACGGAAATTCTTTGACATGTCTTAAACATTTCTCTCAATTTCTCTTTTTCACTATAATACAACTTTAAACAATCACGAGCAATGGTAACACAAGATGGAATGTGAAATTGTGGACATGCAACTTGCACAAAGTGCCTAAAACCAGGTTTTTCCACATGCTTAAATGGTAACTCATCAACAATAATCATGTGAATCAATGCCTCTCTAACATCATTCAAGTTAATAATCCTACTCCCACACTTTAATTCACCACTCTCATGTTCTTGATCAAAATACAATTTAGTTTGCTTTTCTTTGCCCTTTTCTTTTTCTATATTATCAGGATTACCAAGACATGATTCGGCATGGTTTTTAACATTTTTTGAACCATTAAGATTACCAAGCAAAAGTTTTAAGACAAAACTTACATTCAGCTCGTAGTTTTCCATTCTCGACGTACTCTAAGTAATATTTCCAAATACTCAGCTTTCCTCTTACTTTTTCTGTTCCAGATATATTCCCGCCCCGCTTTTAGCTTCTTATCAGGAGGCAAAGTAGATTGCAATTCTTCCATATCCTTTTTAGAAAGTGGCTGTGACATTTGTTTAGAAAAAGAAGCAGACCTTTTGGATTGAGAGCTCTCCATCTACAATATAATTATATACAATATAAGTAATTTTAAAGTAACAATTATATACACATACCATTTTATAAAAAAATTTAAGAACAACTTACATTGCATGAATAAGAATTCGTGGTTCCTTCACTCCCTTGTTAGCCCTGGGCAAGTCTGCAAGAATAAGAACAAGAATAAGAACCCCTCAACTGCATACAAGTTAGCCAACTTATTTAATCATCCGAGTCTCTTACAAATCATGCACTACGTTTATTTATTTATTTATTTAAATTTGGCCTAATAGAGATTCATAGGCTGTGATAGTGTGATCAATTCTAAACCCTAAACCCTAAACTTAAAAAAACCAAAAAGAAAAAAAAAACATAAATTCGAAATAAATTCGAAGATAAACCATACTTCTTATCAATTCTAAACCCTAAACTCAAAAAACCAAAAAAAAACATAAATTCGAAAGAAATTCGAAAATAAACCATACTTATCAATTCTA